GTTCCGCATTAAGGGAATCAATTTATGCAGGATAGTAAGGCGGGGGGAAGGCCACGGTTTTAGCATTGCCTTTGTGAGGTGAGTGTCGGTCCGGACAAACGTCGCACGTGTATGTTATAGCCGCTAGTTGATCGATATAGCTGCTGCAATCGAATAATCTTCGGGGGAATATCGTACAATGGCGAATTAAATTGAAGACTTTGCACGCGAAAAGGCTGTCTTTTAAAACCAAGTAATCTAAGTGATTTTGATTCATTCATTTTAATGTTGTCAATTCAGTATTATTTAATAATATTAAAAATGTTTATTTGAATACAAATGAAAAAAAAACATATAGCAGAAATATTTTAACATTGTTTAAAAAAAAAATGTAAACGGCAGTTCCAATTATTTAGTCAAATTAGGAGCAGATGAAATAAGCCCTCGAAATTAAGACCTCAGCGTATCACCATCAGTCCCAAATATAAGTTTATTAAAAAGATAAAGGGGATCGATAGCCAATAAAATGTTATGGAAAAAACGAGTGAATGTAATTTTCGTCTTTTTTCCTCCTTCAATTTGTAGGTCGCTCTTTCATATTTACAAATGCAGTAGATAAACCATAAATATCATCACCGCAGTTAAAATTACTTAAAACCAAGAAATATAAAAGCAATTTTTAGAAGAAGAGATAGAAGGTGTGGATGAGGAAACAACTTCTCTTAATTCATGTTAGATTTTTGGATAAGTAGATCTGGGCAAGATTGTTTTTGATATCTTCGAATCAGTTTTTATTCTTCTGTTGTGTTAACTTTGAGTCATATATTTAAACATTTTTTTATATATTTCTTCGTATGTAGTTGGAAATTGCCAAACAACCTTGTGTATTAGATATCCGCCGTCTATAACAAAACATGTGTCATCGGGTGGGTGTTTGTCGGCGCAAACTTGTTGTCAAATATTTTGTATAAAGTCTATTTCTCAAACAGCATTTTTCAAAAAGAGCCAAAGACTATGGTGAAAGTTCATACGAAAAACATTTGATAAGTTCGTCTTTTGATTTATTTGTGCTTTAGTGCATGCTTTATATTTAATATTATTTGTTAAATTCGTATTTTTTGCTTATTCCCCCTCCTTTTTGTATTTTTCATCTATTTCAACCCTTTATAGGCCGGCAATGGCTTATCTGAATAGCAGCTTCTGATATATCATTTTGTAGAGAATTTTATAATTTTAAATTTATATAAAAGTAATGGAGATATTCTTCAAACAGTTAAAAAATGTATGGGGTGGTTTTTGAAAACTTGACCACCTTATATTATGTCAATTGAATTGAGAAACGCTTAAAACTCTGTGACTCTGGTAGGGAAAGATACCCATTGAATGGTTTTACTTATCTTAAGGTAAAAAAGGAGAATATTTATATGTTAAGTGCAGGATCTTCTGCAAAACCTAGCAATTTTGCTGAAATTGTAAAAATAGAAGAAAAGCTTAGGCTCGATAATAATTAAATTTAATAATGTAGGCCAGCGAAGAGTTTACTAGCTTTTTATGGGGCTAAAAAATTTAATTTTATGAATTTAAATTTGCCATTACAACTGCCAAACAAGGGCCATATAAAAACTGAACTTTACCCCCAACATCTGACTCTGCAGCCTACCATTTTAAGAGGATTTATTTTCAAATCCAAAGCTGGTAATGGCACCATGTCACCAACCAAATGGAGATGGAAACAACAAAACAAAAGCAATAGAGAGTTTTAGGTAATGAATGTATTAATATATCAGCCTGCTGCTTTCCGATTTTACTTTTTTGGACCTGCATATATCTTTTTATTTTTATGCTAATCTGACAAGTTGGCAAAACTGTATTTATTTTCCTTCGATAATAGTTCAGCTGCTATTTCTAGTTCAATTTTAATGATTTAAGGTTATTATACTTATGTATTTTATATTGATTTGCATTGTATAGTTAAATGTATTTGTCATTTGTTAAATTCATTTATTCGCTGAATCTTCTAATTTTTTAACCCCTTTGGTCTTATAACGTACTAAACTGAAATTATTTTATTACGTAATGTTGATTTACACTGCTTTGATTACAAACCTAATGGGTTTTTTTATCAAATTTGTATTTTTTATCTATTTCAACCCTTGGCTCGGCAATGGTTTATCTGAATCGCAACTTGTTATAGAGAATTATATAACCTTTAAATTTGGTACCTTCTCTTCTCTTCATCTAAAAGTGAAGAATGTACTTTTGGGGTGGTTTTTGGGAACTTTGCCATCCTCGTAGGGGTGGGAACTTTTAGTATGTTGAATAGTACCCTAAGAAGTACCACACAACCAATTTTCAGCTTTAAGGGAATTTGTTCCGGGTCCAACCTTGAAAGTCCTGGTATTATAGGATATATTTCATTGTAATATAAAACTGTTCTGATTATGTAAATCTAACGGAATTTAAACCTTTAACCATACTTAATTTATACTGCTATAAATTAGTACTAACTATCTTTTTTAAACAAATTGCATATTTTGACTTTGCTTACCCTTGAAAGCTTTCTCCACTCTAAAAGCGTGACCTATTTTTTTTTCAGTACCTTATTTTGGATGCGATTGAATAGGGGTATTTTTATTGACAGGTAATATTTTGATAGTTCAAACGAACACAATTTTCTATTTTGATCAAAGTTATAGAAATTTGTAACAATATGCATAGTAATAGTCCTAATCAATCAACCTGCCATTAAGTGGATAATTTTTCATATTATATCAAGGTAATTGAGATAGAGATGGCCCTGCGGGTGATAGGTCGGACTTCCGGGCTTGCCCTAATTACGCCTAACAATTCGATTATGTAGCACATGTTAATTAATATTATTAATAATAAACTGGACTAATCCAAGTCCCTCCAAATAACGCCTAACGATTTAGTTAACCGAAACGTTCTTTATTACCGCCCTATTTACCATTGCCACCTTAAAAGATTAAAGTTAAATAGCACGGAGGCGGCATTTGTTTGCCCTCGCATACCGTGTTGTTGATTTAGAGAAATGGCGGCCGCCATATCTTATCCTCTGGTATTTCTTTGTTCTAAGTTATTTTGGTTTATTTGTTTAGGAGCGAGGCAATAAATTTCGGAGGCAGTATGGGGCGAGGGTGAGTTTATACCGGGATTAATTTGGTGTCTGAAGAATATAAGAAATATTAGGGTGGCGTGTACGAATGGATGCTAAACGGGCGAGGGGTAATTTTAACTGAACTTAATTGGGCGTGACTAAACGCTTACGATTTCTGGCCGTGCCGGGCCTATCGGAAGGATACAACGCGTAAGTTTTCACGTGAGGAAATAGTTAATTTTGCCGGTACAAAATAGTATATTATGCAATAAATTTGATAAACGCCACTTTACTCAAGAATGACTGAAGAAGTTTATCATAGTGTTGCATACTGTATCTATTTTTACGACCATTAGTGTTTTGTTACATTCTCTGAGTGAGTGAGAAACATCCGATCGCCAAAAAAAAAGAGTGAGCAAAGTGTCACTTCGCTCCAAAACAAACTATGACTAAACTGGAGTTTATTAATTGAAGTAACTAAATGTTGTTGCCTAATATTCTAAACACATTTTTTAAAATATATATTACGAAATGTAAAATCAGGTTTTCAGAATGTGGTGGCAATTGTTGTTGTCAAAAAAAAAAACAGTTGCTAAAATTGCTCATTAAATATGAAAGCGCCGGTACCTTACTACACTAATTTTAAAATTGATTTCTTTCATCTTTTTAAAATTACTGTAATTTTTTGAGAACTAAGTTTTATTTTCAAACTCGAAAATTTTAACTTACAGTATCAGCTGTTTTTGTACTTTTGACAAAAGCTAGGTCAATATTTCCAAATGTTTAGCTAAAACACCGATTTTAACCTAATCTGACTCCTTTCGCGTGGTGAAGCTTCGCAAGAGATCATCCAAAGGGTGATTTCCTCAATATCAAAAATTTTAAGACCGTGTGATTGTTACTTGACCCTTTGTCGTATATAATTTTCATTAGACTTTTGTGCAATTCTGGGTATATTATGTAAAAAATATTATTTTACCTGCACGAAAAGTGTTTAATGTTTATTAAAATTAGTTTCTTTATTCACTATTGACATTTTTGTCCGTAATTTTTGTTAATGCTTTATTTTATTTACTTTTAATTTATTAATTGTTTTATACATGCATATATATTTTTATTTTATTTAAATTTTCGAATCCATCTAAACTTTAGCAATATTAAGCGTTCCAGAAAATAAAACAGCAGAAAGGATCATTGAAAACTTTAGAATAAATAGAGTAAAGAAAAAACAAAATGATATTACGATGATTGGGTCAAAACTAGAGACCACGAAAATAGTTCAAAATATAGTTCAATATTCCATGTTACAAAATATCAAAATATGGTCAAAAACACGGATTAGCTGATAAAACACATGCATGGGACAGCTAACCCATAGTCAGCGCGGGCTGGTAAAGTCCAGTCAAAGCAATTGTGCAGTTACGTCATAGCATGACATCTTTATCTAGTTCATTACTGGATGTCGTAAATTGACATAAGAATTCATCTAAACTTTAGCGATATTAAGCGGCCCAGAAAATAAAAGAGCAGAAAAAATGATCGAAGACTTTAGAATAAAAAGAGTAAAGAAAAAAGAAAATGTCATTAAGATGACTGGATCAAAAGCTAGAGGCCACGAAAATAGTTCAAAACATGTGTTCCATGTTGCAAAATATGGTCAAAAACACGCCTTAGGTGATGCATGGGACAACTAAGCCACAGTACGCGGGGGCTGGTAAAGTCCAGTAAAAGCAATTGTTCAGTTACGTCATAGCGTGACATCTTTATCTAGTTCCATTACTGGACGTCGTAAATTATATTGGTTATGGTACGTGACGTAACTGCACAACTGCTCTGACTGGAGTATATTTAATTAGAGAGAAACGTGTCATTAAAAAAATCTTTAATATTATGTGTTCTATTTACAATTACTTAGGATACATAATTACAGTGACAATGAATAAGTTGTTACTTTTAATAGGCGAAAATTAAAAAAAATATATAATCCCTTCAAACACACCGAAAAAGTGTGGTATAATATTGAAATTGAATTTAACAATGGCAAGAAGTTTATCAAATAATAATAAGAAGTGAGAGAAATGTTACCCACGGTCAATATTACCTCTTCTTCCCCAAACTTCCACCGCCGCCGACGATATATATACCCTCGGGAAGCTCAGGGACGACCGTTGCGACCCCATTCCTACTAACAACGACCGGTTTACTATCGTCGTGAATGTTATGGTGATCGTCTGCCACCACGATCGGAGCGAAGGTGCTCGAGATGACCTGCGTTTAACTAAAATTGTTCAACAATTTCTCTCAGCGTAGATCTCTACTTTACCTGTTGGTTTTCGCGAATATAGGTTTGCTGGTTTGGATTTATCAACCCTCGTTCCGCGTTGATTACGACATGCGGCTGAGCGGTCGGGGGAACAGGGGTGGAAGTATACCTTATTGGCGTAGACGCCCTCTGAATCGGGGTAGCTTGTGTTGTGGGTATAAAATTACCGGTATGGTAGTCACGTGCGTTGGATGTGTAAATTTCGACGTTCGGCGACTTTACGATCGGTATTGACTAAAAGAACAGTGAAAATTTATGATGTAATAAATTGCTGGTAGCTCATTACCGCGACTTTCTTTTGTATGTCAATAAAAATTTATTTTATCGAAACGTGAACCTTCTATACGCAATGGATTATAAATCTTCGAACATTCGGTATATTATTTCATTTTTTGACTTTTCATTTTTGACTAGCGGGAAAACACAAAAATTGATTGTTTCAATTTTTCTACCGCTATCTAAATTTACCAACTCATAATATTTTCAAAGCTGCAAAGCTTCTTTTTTCTATCCTAATGTATGGTGTTAGCCGTTTTCAGATTGTTTCATATATTCTATCAAAAGTCAATAAATTTAACGCTCTTGGATTTTCATTTCTGACAATTTATGACAATTAGAAAATTGAAAATTAAATTGTCGCATACAGGATGCCAATTACATTATTTCGAATGCAGAAAAAATATTCTTTTGCACATATTCCACTGTAGGTATATTATTTTATAGTCCCTTACCTAATTTCAACGGTTTCTTGTTGTTCTATTTAATGTAGTTTTTGCCAGGCACCGACACACATTTTCATTTTAGAATTTAAAAAAAAAACGCGGCAATCGACTAAAATTCACTTTAATTAGAAAATTAATAAAACTTAAAAACTTTGAACAACAAGAAACAAAAAATACAAAGCGAAAATAAACAGAACCATTACAATAATTCCTTCATTATGACAACGTTTTGTTTTCCATGTGAGTCAATCACGGATTGGAAAATCTAAGTATGGTGATCTCTATGTCCACTTTAGTAAAAACCAAACCAACAACGTGTAAAAATTGTTATAAATCAAAGCTGACTAACCTTAAAAAATGTGGAACAATTAATATAACCTTACCGTAAAGGCGAATACCACAGGTCAGTGGTTAACTTCGTTAGATTCATTAGCATTTTTACAAGCTCAAGTTTGGCTAATGTTGAGATGGCAATAACTGTGTCGCACTAATTTAGGACATCCTTCCTAATAACGTTCAAGGCAGTAAAGACTTACAGTCATTTATTTTTAGGAGATAAAAGGGCCGCATTTGCAGTTAAAATTGTACCCACTTTCGGAGAAAAAAAATATTTCATCGGAATAAGTAGTCACTATTAAAAATAAATTACCAAAAGAAATAATACACATCACTTTAATCAAAAATTTAAAAATGTGCGGCTCCACCATTTTGTCAACAATCAATATTTAATTTTTCAAAGAAACTTCCACAGACTACTGTAATACTTTTTATAAGACTTCTGGATTCTTCCTGCGTCGGTTTTTATTGACTCGAACTAACTAACCGTTCGCCAATCACCCTGTTGGCTTCTTCAGAGCTTGACTGAAACTGGCTCGCATTTTACTCTGTAATTAATATTTAATCAGTCTCTTTACAGCCCGGCAGAAGTTATGCAATTGCTACATTGCAAATTGCAACAAATCTGACAAATAAGTGCTGATTGGAGGGCAAATTTAAGAAAAATCTGTATGTCAAGCGTTTGCGTAAAGCGTAATCTCAATGGAAAATGTAAATTCAATCAAAATAAATAATATAAATTAAATAACAATAATAAAGGTCAATAACTCCATAAAAAATCGAATGGTTAACTACAAAATTTAAATATTATTTTGTAAGTAAAAGAGGCTAAATTATTTTTACCACAACCTCAGTAGGCCCATTGTACCTCTTTCTAGATGAAATGCTTAAATTTACGAGAATGTCCCAAAAATAATATTGGCAATATGGATTTTCGTTATGCACCCACGGTTGGAAATACATTTCTGCATAGAGTTTCGCCATTTAATTAATTAAATCATTAACTGAACTAAAAACTTTTAGAAAACAACCTTAAAAAGCAAAGATCCACATAAATATTCATACATACTTAACATACATTTGTAACAGTCGCAACTATATATTACGCCATCTATAGGTAGCGATGAAAATTTAAAAAAATTGTGCCTACGTCTTAAGACGATTTTTCAAAAAAACTATCAGTGCCTAGAGGTGCGATACCTCACAACACCTACGCTGACGGATCGCCCGGTAGATCCAATTTACGTTTCGCCAATGAAAACAAATTTAGTTCGAATATAACGGCAATACATTATGTTGTTTATAGAGTGTATATTTACCCTTAATCCGCGATTTACTGCCGGGATCCCAGTTGCATACATTGGCGTCGCGCACCGACATCAACATAATTTACGGGGATCTCGGTGGGCCTCGCTATTTTCATCCCAGCCGCCAATACAGAGTTAAAATGTATATAGCGTTTAATTTGTTGCGGACAAAATTGAGGAAGTGCGGAAAACTTTACAATATTGAATCAGGCAATAACCCTAAATTTCTAAATTGTGTTACCAAATTATTGTGTAATAAGTGATTTCTCGAGAACTTTTAAGGTAAAAAATTAATAGGAACGTATGGTCTAAAATTCTTGGCTGTCGAAGTTTTATTTTTATTTATTATATTTTTACTACCCAACTTTACGTCATAATTATATTTTTGTTTGTAGTTTTTACATGACACTTCAAACAAAATTCATTATAGAATAAACTTGCTAGCCTACTTGATATTTTTTTTATTAAAGTTATTTCGCTTTTTTAAAACATTGGTTACTTTTAGCCAAAATATTGCGAGAATGGTGCAAAAAGACTTTTTGCACGCAAAAGTGACTGAAAATTTCATTTTTTTCCACCACAAAATTTATTACAGGATCTTACAAAAAGCAATTGGCGCTAAATTCCAATTTTCGTCCAGAAATCGACATTATTTAGTAAATTATGAATAAAAACCAAACATTGAATCTCAGGTTTTTAGAAACTTTTTACTTTAAAACTACTTGAGAAATACAGGAAACTTTTTTAATTACACCCTGTTCTTGCTAAAATTATACCCGGTGTGCCAAATTAAGTGTGCAAGCTTTTTTCTCATTGCAGAAAGTGGGTCAAATTAACAAAGTAGTACCAGTCCTCCACTAGTCCTGACTAAGATGATGCATAAAGAAAAGCATAAAAGTTCCTGTGCAATATTAGCCTAAAACTCAAAGTAACAGAATTATTATTATAAAGGGTTTTTCAATAAGAGGTATTATTCAAAAAAAATGGAATTTTCTGAGACAAATGGGGTGTTGATTTCAATGTAAAGAGGAAGGCATGCCATTAATAATTGAAAACCACGACCATCAGTCCATACGATCTTGTTGATGATCGACCGGCTTGAGTTCTTGCGTTAACTGAAATTTATAGGCCTTAAGACCCAAGTCTTTATGCAAAATAAAAAAGGAAATAAAATAAAATTAAAAAAAAGAAGAAAGACGAGGAAGGAACAAACCTGGACTTGCGCGGATTTTTCCGCTAATTTCTGTATTGTGAACCGACAATGTGCTTCAATAAGACCCAAAATTGTTTTAGTTTTATAAAATTTCCTGTCAATTTTTCACCATTTTTATAGTGAATGTAAATAATTTCAATGCGTTGTTGAAGCGTGCATATATATTATTAATTCCATTATAAAACTCGATCTTAAAACACTAATTACATTTGTGAGGCACATTTTTGGGCATTGTACGTACTTTGAAGCCTTTCTGTTCTGACCATATAGTTATTAGAAATCATAGTGACACTAGCCTGCATATCTGCAATATGTTTCATAAGTGTTCTTTCTATATTATCGGCATAGGCAGGGCCTCTATATATTAGTTTTTTTTTTGAATGTAGAAATTGTTCTGTCCTAATGAAGATTTCCAATTCATATTTTTTTCGGTAATAAGATAATTGCATTAGTGATTTTTCAAGTTAGTTGCGAGAAACGCTTTACAAGAACTTTGTTACGTCTTGATAACCTATTTTCTGAGAAGACTTCTTTTAGCTTCAACAGCAATATTAGCCAATATTATCCACCTTCGCATACCAACATTGTTTAGTCTCAGTTATTTTAATTACCATTTCATTAAAATGTTTAATTTTTAATTAATCCTTATTTGCATAGCCAACCACTAACTTGGGTGACAGAAAAATCCTTCATACAAACGCATTTCTGTACTTGTCAAAGTTTCCGTATAATTTATTCTTTTGTTTGTAGTTGAATCGCCTTTTTTCAAAATATCTACAAAACTACTGCTTTTAGAAAAAGGTACAGGATCTTTTTTTCTATTTTAAGAATTGAATGATAAGAAAAAATTTGTATGTGCTTTATGAATTTTAGCATTAAACTAATAAACGTGGCAGGAAGATAGCGGATTTTGTTAAGACAAAACTTATTTTTTCGTAAGCCATTGACCATGTGTCGAAGGTGGCATAAATTTAGAACTTCCGCGATTAATACGACATCAGAATAATCTAAAGGACGTTCTATTAAAAATTTCAAAGTTCAATTAGCTTTTACCAATTATGACAATAAAGCCATTAAAGTGGCGGAATGCTTCACCAACTTTTGCATCTGAATAGCAAAAAAGCAATAAGGTTCGGAATCGGCTTCAAATATGGCAAAAACTATGCTTTCGTATAATATAGTTTTCTTTGTCCTTAAATCCTGAGAAATGTATGTCTGAATTTATTTCAAATTCATAGCGGGTAAGAGCCACATAATAGTATCAATAAAAACGCGAAAACCACGCAATTTTCTTTCGCATTGTTTCGATTCGGTTCCGCACACAACGGCCATTATTTCAGCAACACTTGTGGGAATTTCCCAGTAAGCTCGCCTCTTAAATTCTAAGATTTATCAACTATATATATGAAATTACACGCGAAGACGATACTTTGCAATTAAAACGTCTTGTCGACCCAATTTTTTGGCCGTCAGAAGGTGACACGTCGCCATTGCTAAAAAATATAAGCCAACGGCACTTCGACACGCAGTATACATGCAGACGCGATTTACATGAGAAAATTAGGTTTACTTGGCGTAAAATCACCTGCTCTTGTAGCCGTCCCCCCTGGATGATGTTAATTTTTTTTCCTTGCTGCCGTCGGCATTTGTTTTACATCAAAAAAAAAATCAAAAAATGTATTATTCTTAATCAAAAATTTGTACTTCTTATTTTGTTCACTCAAATGTCCTCCAATTAGGCTTGCCAAACCTCCCGGCACCCGCGCAAACCTCGACAAACTAAAAACCCAATAATTCAAATTTTCTACCTATTTCTTAATTAAATTAAAAAATAATAATATTGAAATATATACATATAGTTTTTTTACTTGGTGTAAGATTGGAATGAATGTTTTGCCTTTTTTTGTATTGAGTATATATTTTTTGTAATTTAAGGTTTTAACAATAAAATTGTATTTTGTTTTTGTCTTTTTTTAAATAATCGTTTTGTCCTGGAAAATATATTCAAATATTATATTATTATACCGTCAACTTAAAAGAAAATTTAACAGAAACAAAGTAATAATAATACATTTCCCATATTCTTGGATTTATATAAAAATTACAAATTGAAAATAAGGAACCTAAAACATCTAAGCTTAAATTCATCATCCAAAAATAATCCACAATTTATTCCATTTTGTAATTTCTGAAACAAATTACATGATAACTTTAACTATTTTTCTCGTAAAATAAAATGAATTCCAGCACGCAAAAACCTTGCACCACAGCCAATCAAATCGATAACTAATAAATTTGAAGGTTATAAGTAGTTCATTTTTTCATATTTAGCCAAAAAATTTTTTGTAAATTAATTTCCATAGTTATATCACTATAAATTCTAGAAATATTAAAACTTTGTGAATTTTTTTAAAGAAACGTCGATCTGCGATCTTTAGAAAAATTAATTAATTAGGAGAATTAATTAATTAATTAAAAGAATTAACATTAAAAAAAGAATTAAAACTTGGCGTAGTAAAAGCAAGACCGCAGACAGACCGTATGAAAAATAAACCGTTTAAAAAATTCAATTTTAGGTAGTTGAGTAGTATAAGGGTTTCAGCGGAAGGAGAAACTCAGAGTAAAGGTAATGCGATAATAAAGCTTTCCCAGAACATTTTACATTTTACGTAAAAATGCTAGGTCTAGATTGATGAACTGTTCGCGGTCATATTGTTTGTTGAACACGTCTTATTGATTGAAGACGACGTTTCAAATGACCATGCATGAGCATATTAAATGGCCCTCGTTAATATTTTATTTCATCGACGCTTCAAAATTTTCTGTATTATTAGCATGGCATCTAGTAGCTATATGGACGAGAGATAGAAACCTGTGTAGTGGTTTATGTTATGAGGATTTTTAATGATATCGAGAGTCTATCTACATCGCCCGTGAAGCAATTAAATAAGCCTCCCCACTCCCCCAACCAGCAGGTATTTAAATCAGTCGGTCTTCAGTTTTTGACAACACTCTGAAGAAGCGAGCAGCATGTAAAAGAAGAGTCAAGAAAAAATAAATAAGTTCCTACAAATTCTACAGCCTGCAGAAATTTCTTTGAAAAAATCACTTTTTTTATTAGGAAAATGTTTATTATAAGCATCAGATGCAGGCCCTAATTACAGCTTTGCACTTCGGCGAAGCTTAGAAAAATTACGATTCAGAAGAAGTCTCACCTGATGACGTAACGCTGGGACATCCAAGTAATCGTACCCCCGCAAAACGTTTGTTACTTCGAGCTCTCTGACTGGAACACGCTGTATACTAACATCGCGAGACACGTAGTCGTCTGAGTTTCTTAATATCGCCGGAGCGTGAACAAAATTTTGAGCCGATTCTTCCGCTCCTGTTTCGTATTTCACGTCCGCCTTGTATCTGGAACACATCGAATAATTCAATCTACCTGGTAAATTTTCCAGAGGCGTGGAGGTGTACCCGTTCTTGTCCGCCTTGTAGGAAACGATCTGGAGCCTACCGTCCGGCAGTTTCACCCTGTATTCGCCGCTCGTCGCTTTGGCGTTTCTGGTCTGCGCGTGTGAGAAGTCGTCACCCGTCAAACGATCGAGCACTTTGTACGAGAACGCGTAGTTTTTCTTTTGTTGTATGTGCTAGAAACGGGAAAATATCAGACGGGTGAAAAATCCAAATTCAGCAGATATCGCGTTCGTTTTGTACCGGACGTCACGTCGAAAACAAGAAATTAAAAAGTTTGAAAATATTGCAATCTTGCAGATTAAAATTAAAGTATTATCAGTCTTTTTTAACTTTCATATTGTCAACCAAACCTCACAAATTCACATTTTATTATTAATTCGGTTCCAGTTAACAAAGGGAATTTCTATTATTTTTCACAATATTACCCACTCGTCCCAATTATTTTTAGCACACAAAATTAAACTGTTCAAGTCCATAAACTTTTTATCTTTCATACATATCTCTGTTTAGTTTTGGTTTTATGCTATTCAAAAAATTTCGAAAATATATAAAAACAAACGTAATTTTGGAAATTTCGTATTTTCGTATTCGAAAATTTATTTGAAAACTAACTTTTCATTGAAAATTCTTTCGCGCGGCCGCATATTTTTAAATATGGATTATAAAGTCACTTAAGATAACAAGTAGAGATTTCTTTTTGCACAAACCACAAGACATCAAATTTAGTTTTTCCACTAATCGAGAGATGGCAGCACAGTTTAGCTAAGTCAGCGATGATCAATCATTAGCAGTGTATTAAAAACTTTAAAACTGTCATAAATAAATTACGTTTCCATTATTTAATGGAAATATACCTTATGTATGCGAGGTAAGAAAAAGAGGTTTTATTTTCAAAGCGCTACACTTGGATTTCAATTTCAAACATAATCTTTAATGACTGAACAAAATCAAACCTGCACACAGGTTAAAAATATAATATTTAGTTAGATTCCATATAAGTTTGGTTATGACTAGACCCGTCAAACTATTTACGGGTCTAGCCATAACCGAACTTATATTGAATCAGCCAATATTAGTATGAAATATTAGTGTTAGTCAGTGGAATGATGAAAGCGATGAAAAAGTACATGTATTTAAGGTAAGTGGCATAAACGGTGTGGGTGACATAAGGTGACATAAGTTTTAACAAACAAAATTTCTGAAATTACAAGATCTAGGGAAGTCGTGGAAATAGAAGAAGAAATCCCACAATATCGCACCCATAGCTTTTGCAAGCTACGGGTTTAATTGGAATACATAATGCAGCTGGCAGTGTAAGTAGATAATTGAAGCATGAAAATTGGACTACTGAGGATTTTGAAAACTTTTTTTTCGAATGAACCCAGGACACTGTAATATTTCGTGGTAGAAATGTGATTTTTGAAACAACTCCTTTAATTACCATTTGGCAAAGGATAGTAGCTTAAACGTGTGTTGATTTAGTTTTGCAACCTGTAATCAGGTTCTGGAGAGGTGGTTTTTATTTATTAGAACCATATTTCAGGAGAATAACAAAATTGAAGAAAATTGTTAATTGTCCTATAATTTAGAAAAATGTAATAAACTTGGCTTCAAAGACTTTTTTTCAAATTAAATTACATTTCATGAAATTACTGGGTGATTCCATAGAAGTTTTGTTGTATATATAAACCAGATATTTTTTCGATTTTTTTCATTTAACGTTAACAAATTTTGCAGCAAAATCGCTTCAAACGGAACTCCCTTAACCTTAACGTTACATAAAAAACTTAGTTCAATCAACAAAAAGTTCACGGCCGAATTCAAAATTTCGTTAGCTTTTGCCCGGGCGAAAGCTTTTAATAAAACCGCATGTACTGCGTTCTTTGCGGAAAAAAGTTTAAATTAACTTACGGCAGATCCGCCGTACGCCTGCAGATCCTGTGGTGAAAAAGAAAGAACTCTGGCCCCGTGTTCTCCTAGTGCCCTGTACACTTCGGAATCTACTTCGTTATCCTGCGAACAAGTTAACTAATTTAATTTCCCGTTTCAGCGTCGACTTTAACGGACTATGATGGAAATATGGACAAATACGTACGATAAGGTTTTCGATTAAAACTTCGATTGGAATGCAAAAAACCGTTCGAATCGGCATGAATTTTCGGCAAAAATTTTGTAACACAAACATATTTTCGGTTTGGATTTTTTTTTTTTTTATTATTAACGCACGAATCGTCAAGTGTTAGATACTTTATTTGTGACATTTCATTTGCTTTGCTAATAACAGAAACTCTACAAACAAAACCTAAAATTCATTATTATTGTTAATAAGGTTTATTCAAAAGAAAGTGATTTTAAAATAATATTTTATTTTTTTTATCTTTCTTAGATTACGAGGTATAACATTATATAATTTGTGAATTGTAATAATAAATTGTTCGCATTTCTTCTTCTTAATTCGTAATTCGTGGACAAATGTGTACACCGTTACGACCTTTTATCGTTTTTGCAGAGAAAATAACTACAGGATCATCAACGTACGAAATAATTCTACAATCCATATAGAGACCGCGAAAATAAGTCAAATAAATTTTGAATAGCAAAGGTCCAATCACCATACCTTGTGGAATACCGTATGCAATAGTCTTGCTAACAGTCTTCGGGGGCCGACGGAATGGTCAACCAGATACTTCTCGAAGATCTCCACACTATTCAGATTTACATGTATTTTATATATTTATATATCCATATATTCATTGTCGTTTCCCGCACTAACCACATTTTCTTAATTTTTTTCTATGTATATCGTTCAAGTAAATTTGCTGCCATAATGAATAAAAATATTTTTGATAGTTGTCCTTTATGTTATCGAATGAACCTTTAAGAACATTAACAAACATTCGCGATAACTATATATTACTTTCATTACCTTATATTTTTGCATATAACATAGACAACAAATAAATTAAATCAAAGTTGATCAATAAATTATTATTCGTCTCGATATTTAATGGCATTTTCAAGAAGCTACAAAAAAAAAATTATGCGAATGCATTTCTATCACTAAGCATGTTGAGCAGCAATGCGAGATAACTTTATTAAAGGTGTGGTATTGTACAAATATGCACACTGTTACATACATTTGAAATGGTATACAAATTGAGGCAACCCGGCCAGATCCATGCTTTCACTATCTTTAATTAATAATACAAAAAGCACGGTTGACAATCTGGCGCAGGTCGCAACTCAAAATTTAACGAAAAAGTAAATCTTTAATAAAGCGAGCCGTCTTCTTTTACCGCCGGCTTAGTCGTAAATAAAAATAAGGCGTCCCCGTAGATATCATAAAACTTCAAAGTGTTGGAGCGATGTGTCAAAACGCGGGCATTTTTCTATTGCCCAACCTTGATGCGGGATTAAGAATGAAATATTCATAAGCCGGATATTTGAATATTTCTCGCCCGAGCCAAAGGAAACGGCTTCGTGGGCCAAGCGCGCCCACAGTCACGTTTAATCTGTCACAATTCAACAAATAATGGCCGAATTACGTGGCCGTACGGTAAGAATGGCCCCTTCCCCACCCCGTTGACCAAGACACGTAGTTCTGCGGAAATGTTGCTTTGTTTCGTTTATACGATGTTCTATAAAACTTTAAACCCAAAAGCTTGGGGGTTTTCACATTCACTAACACGCCATATTCGCTCAATGACTTGAACCTCGTATGGGATGCTTACTAAAGTGTCATAAGCTCATTTAAAGTCCTTGCTTCCCATGATTAAATGTTCGATTTTCTTAAGGAACATGCCAAGCAGGCCGAAATAGCCACCAAACCGTCACAGCCTATCTACTGATTTTTATATTTCCAAGTTGCTTTCGTCTAACCCAGTTTGGGGTGTTAAAAAACACAACGTTTAGTGAATTTTAAGGATCTCCGCCATCCAGAAATAAAAGCTTGAGCTGAACATGTATGTCAAACGTAGAAACCTTCCTAATTTAGAAAAGTTTACTAGAACCAAAACTGTGCTTCGCTGAAGTTTAAAATATGCTTACCTGCAAAACTGCAAATGGAGTACGTTCGGGCACAAACTTTTTAATTAAAAATACATTTGTCGAAACTTTTCGACGACCGAACTTATTAAAGGTCTTTATTAAAAAACTTGAAATATCCAAGTACAGTTCCGAACAACTTTCTCATTTATCTTGCCGGATATTTTTAATTTTCGAGCAAATATTAAAAAAGTAAATACCTCCAGCGAAAGACCCTTCGGGTTAGATTTGCAGAGCCTGTTGATTTCTCCTTATTCTTTTATACAAATTCAAATTAAACAATGTACCGAACGTACAGAAGATGTCACATTTTTGGCTAAATAAGAATAAGCGGTACTTTTTACCGTCGTTTTTTGCTAAGTCGAACTTACTGACGTTTAGCCAATAATCCTGTTGGCTTCTTGACTGAAACTGTTTCAGTCAAGCTCTGAAGAAGCCAACAGGATGATTGGCGAAACGTCAGCAAGTTGTGTAAAGATATGAATCCCGTTAATGCAAGTTAGGACAGTTTTTAGTTAATTTGAAAATAGAGAAGATCGGGAAAATGATACATAGGTGATCATAAAATGCCCAATGAAAAATTTATGACTTCGACTTAACAGGCCAGGATATATTTGATTGCTGAAATAGAGTCATTTTTGCAAGCTCCACGACGAAGACACCTATTTCCTTCATAATGTTAATACAGATTAGCTAAGGAAAATCAACTGTTTTACATAGTAATGCTCAATTTTATGGTCATAGGAGCTACCAGGTGAACACTTATAAATATCACTCAACCTGTAGCAAGTTGAATTATTAGATCAGTGAGCAATTGTTTGCGCTATGGTTGCTTCAGAGCTTGACTGAAACTGTTTCAGATATTTTGGTTTTTCAGTTATAACCAAGTAAATTGCTAATTTAACAGCATTTACATTTGCAACCACATATAATACGGTTACTAGCGATATTGGTAGTTCCGTTTAGCGTTATGTAAAGATATGAATCCGGTTACTGCAAGTTAGGACAGTTTTTAGTTAATTTGAGAATAGAGAAGATCGGGAAAACGATACATAAGTGATCATAAAATGCCCAATGAAAAATTTATGACTTCGACTTAACAGGCCAGCAGATATTTAATTGCTGAAATAGAGTCATTTTTACAAGCTCCACGACGAAGACACCTATTTCCTTCATAATGTTAATACAGCTTAGCTAAGAAAAATCATCTATTTTGCATAGTAATCCTCAATTTTATGGTCATAGAAGCTACCAGGTGAACACTTAATTAATAGCACTCAACCTGTAGCAAGTTGAATTAGATAAGTAAGCAATTGTTTGTTCTATGGTTGCTTGGTTTTTCTCTATTTTTGTTCATCGTCATACGCAGTCTTAGAGAAACCAAGATCAGAATTTGATGGTCAAAGGGGTGCGGCAAAAAGGTAGGCAACACTGTGTACGCACTCGCGTTAGAGAGACAAAAGTATGCAATTTTCAGTTATCGACATGGCTTGGAGCGGGGTGCATCGTGTTTTCGTTGTCGAGGAGTTTATTAGAAATGCGGAATCTGTAATAGCGACGCAGCGCGCCTTTCGTAATCAGTTTGATGTTGGTCGGCATGGCGCGGTTCCGTATGGAAGAACAATTCGTCGGTGGGTTTTACACTTCAGGGAAACAGGTTCTGCGCTTAACCGAAAATCTACTGGCCGACCAAGGAGAGTAGGAACACCGGAAAATGTGAATGCAGTAAGAGTTTCCGTACAACAGTCTCCAAGGCGTTCAGCTCGTAAGCATGCAGCTGCTTTGGGAATTCCCGATAGAAGTGTTCGAAGTATTTTACACAACTCACTCCGAATGTATCTCTACAAAATGATCGTAGTGCAGGAATTAAGCGCAAGAGATATTGAAACCCGTACAAATTTAGGTCGGGATATTCTTCAAAACATTCCCAGAGGCGCTGTATTCATGTCTAGCGATGAAGCTCACTTTCACCTCTCAGGTACCGTAAATAAGCAAAATTTCCGTTATTGGTCAGCAAATAGTCTACAGGAACTTCATGAACGAGAGTCCAAAAGTCACCGTCTGGTATGCAATCTCGGAGTACGGCGTGTGGGGTCCTTACTTTTTCGAAGAAGATCGAATAACGGTAACAGTCAACGGAGATCGATATTTTGATATGCTTAACAACGATCAAAGAGAACATCTTTGGTTCCAGCAGAATGGCGCTACATCGCACACAACGCGTTGTTCGCTAAATCTTGTTCAAGAAATGTTCCTAAACAAAGTGGTGTCTTTACGGGGTGATCTTGGCTGGCCGCCACGTTCGCCTGATTTGTCGCCTTGCGACTTTTTTCTTTGGGTTTGCCTGAAAGCGAGAGTTTTCACACATAGTCCGCGGACTTTGGAAGAATTAAAGGCAGCCATAAGACAAGAAATTTCCTCAATTCCCCATGAAATGATCCATCGGGTAATGATGCGCTTCCGCGAGAACCTACAAGAGTGCATCGACAATAATGGCAGTCATTTGAAAGACTTCATTTTTAAAAAATTACGTTCCTAAATGGCATAAAATGTACATTTCAAAAATAATTTTAAAAAAATGTTTGCTTTATGTAGTTTGGATTTTATTAACATCCCAAATAGTACCTATCATTTTGTCGCACCCTGTATATGTATATGGTATCTAGTTTTTCTGCCTAATATTTTTATAGAACTACGGTCATAACAATGTAGTAATAGAATCGGTCTGAATATCTTTCCCTTTGGGATTGTCTCAAGTTTAATTAAGCATCGGTGTGTCTAATATTTTTCTCAACGTGCTACAACAAAAGAAACCAAATACTGTCGTTAATTGCTGCGAAATTTTAAAACGCCGCCCGCAGAATTACGACAAAGGGGGCAACGGCGGAGAGTTTAAGAAAACCCGACTAAATTAAATAAGTTTCCTCCGTTTCCGGAGTTAAAAAGATTAAACTCATTTTAATTTTTAT